TGTTCATTTAAGTGTCACCACACTTTAGCTCGTGAGATCAGCTACTTACTTCATAAGTAAGAAATGCCATACGTGATGGTCTAACTGTATTAACGATATCCGTATCTCGTTATTACTTACGACCATGGTTTATTCAAGATCCAATTATATGTAATTTGTATCTCACAATCACAACTCCTTGTGATTAACAGATTACCTAAAAATTGGGTTTTCGGATCCTATTATTTAATATCATTTATTACAAAATTAATTTAAATAAATAATAGATCTCGCCAAAATCAAATGCATTAAATATATTAAAAGCGTTTACAACCTAAATCGATTGGATCTAGGGCATAACACTTACAGTACTAGGGATTGATTGCAGTTATGTCAAGTGGAACGATGATTCATTGGAAGATAAGACTTTGCAATTTGAAGTGTAATGGACGATCGATATGTGTTTGTTCAGGTTAATCGAAGCCTAAAGATCCGAATGAAGATTTGTCATGCATGTTGAAGAATTGTGCTCAAATAACACAACAAGAAGACGTCNGCAAAATCAATAATACATTGTAATGGTAATACATTAGCTTTTCAACAAGCATCAAAACCAACTTTTAAGTGCCAAAACTTGTTTATAGTTAATTACATTTTACCAAGCACAACTTATAAGCAACAATCAGAATTAAAATAATAACCAATTTTGACTTGTAGTCATTGGATTGTCTACCTATTTTTGTTGTTTTATAGTTCATTTACTGTAATTTTTCTGCATAAGTCTCATTGTAAGACCAATAATACATTATTACTTATTTACTTAGACGATCAGACGAAATCAGTGTAATAGTCTAGGGAACAGAAAAAATCAATAATACAAAATTCAGCGATACATTTAACTCCATATAATCACACCCAAATACACAATCCAACTCTAGTATCTCAGTTTCTGTTCAACGTCTCGAAACTTCAAAATAGTTTAAAAAATTATTTTGGAATTACCTTCAATTGGTCCATCCATGTGCACGCCTCCCTCGGTTGAACTGGTTTGTGGGGTCCTTTGATAGTGGGGTAGAATCTATTTTGCGTAGTTAGGGTTTGAAAAAACTTTGAGCGTGCGACATTGTGAGGGTTTAAGGTTTCAATTTGGGAATAAACTATTTGTACAACATACTTGAAAATGGTACAGGTGTCAAAAAAGTGTTAATGGAAAGATAAAGTATTTTTCAAATTATCCAATGATAACCTACCACGTAGCATATTATCTAACTTGTTGTAAAAATCATTGTACAACAAGCATGATTCTTCAATTTGGAGGAATCCCATTTGATTTGCTGAGAAAAGAATTGTTTAAGTTGAAGAAGGAAAATCGTGTTTCTATTTACATCACCTGTTGAAGGTGCGTTTGACGTAGCAACGTACCATATCACAATTTGAAAATACACTAAATAAGTAGTAACATGCATCAAAGTTCAGTCGCCAATAAAACAATTAACTCCTTAGATGTGTAACGAAGGAGTTGGGTCGTGGGGAGGCAATAGAGGTGCGCAGTTAGGGTGGATTTTCTATTTCTTGATTTGCATTTTTTTTTCTTTTTTTTTTTAAAGTTGTTTTTGAAGAAAGAGTAGACACAACTTTACAAAAATGCCATATAAAATAGAGATCCATTTGTACCAAAGACATAAATGTTAGGTTTTTAGAAGTTAGGGAATATTTGGGGCTATTTGCTTTGTTTGAAAAGTTTGAAGAACGTGTTTGCAAAATTCTCAACTTATAGGTTATTTGATTAAATTAGCATGATTTTATTAATTAGGGTCTAAGCAAACGCTTGTTTGTTTCCCATTTTTTTGACATAAGTAGAAGAAATCGGATCGTTGTTCTTTCAAAAAGCCACTT